GTGCGGGGCCTGAGGGCCCGCGGGGCTGCCGAGAGGCAGGAGCGTCCTGCTGCCTCCCGAAGGGGCCCTCCTGACTCTGCTCCAGCCCCCTCCAGCGGCCCTGCTGCAGCCTCTGAAGAGGAGCGTCCCACCAGCCCCACTGCTGCTCTGCAAGGGGGTCCCACAAGCACCACCAGCGTCCCCATTCCCGCCCGTGGGGAGCAGGAAGAGCAGGTTGAGGAGCCAGAGGAAGCTGTGGCCGGTCCCTCGACTCCCAGCCGGGGCAGGGACTGCTCCCCTGGGAGGCCACGGCGAGCCCCAAAGAGGAGAGCCAGCAGTCCCCAGGACTCCTCCCAGCCCCTCAAGAGGCCACCCCACCAGCAGCAGGAGAATGAGTAGTGCTGGCTGTGCTGGGGTTTCTCTGGCTGTCGTTTGTTGTGGTTGTTGTTCCAGCAAGCTGCTTCATCACCAGAGAATATCACCATCCATCAAGACAGGTGGCCTTCCCCTGCCCCCCTGAGTAGAAGGGGTGCAGCTAACAGTGTCCTGGGCTGCATTCAGAAGACTTTGGCCAGCCAGACGAGGAAAACAAGTGAGCTGGAGCTGTAAGGCTGGTGAGGAGCAGCTGAGATCCATGTTGAAAAAGGCCTGAAGAGAGGAGGCTGAAAAGAAGATCGAGCCAGGCTCTTTCCAGTGGTGCATGGTGACAGGAGAACGGACCCTGAAGAGGAGTCTGGACGTGATCCTGGGTAAGTGATCTTACTGAATACCGTAATTATGCTTCACAGAAATACAGAACTTAGGAAAACATTCACAAGTACCTAGGGGAATGCAACCAACCCCTGCGTATTTAGCAACGTTTCCAAAGCTATTCAGCTGGTAATGGTGCGTTTCAGAAGTTACAGACTTGGTCCCTCTGAGTGAAGTCGTTAGCCGGCAGTGGTGCAGCCCTTCCTGCCTTCACATTGTCTCATCTCCAGTCTCAACCAATTAGGAAGCAAGTGAAACCTGGAAGAGGTTGCCTGGGTGCAAGAAGAAGAGGAGGAGGGAGGCAGCGATGAGGACATGATCTCCCTCATCTTGGCCTGGCCCACTGGCTGCAAAGCTCCATGTTTCCCCTTTTTCTGACCCTCTAGCACAACAAACCCCAACAAACCAAAAGCAGGGAGTTTTGTGACCAGTTTTCTTGAATTCAGTCTCCCTCATCTTCACCTGGCCCACTGGCTCCTGCACTGCTGATCTGGGCTGAGTCCTGCTGCCACGTCCCACGGGCGGGCAGGAGAGGTTCCCAGCCATGCCCCTGCCACCCTGTGCATGGCCTGTGCCCGAGGCAGGGGCAGCAGGGCCTGATGCCGGGGGTCCTCTCTTCCTGCAGCTCCCGGGTGCTGAAGGAGCTCTGGCCGGGCACCCTGCAGGGTGAGGCGGGGGAGGCTGCAGGCGCAGCCGGACGGGGGAGCAGCTCCCAGGGGGGAGAGGTGCCCCTGCGGCCGCGGCAGCTCTCGGGCAGAGGTGCCTGGCGAGAGAGAAGAGGCAGCTGGGGGCTCAGCCCGCTCTCTGCCTGTCTCTGCCTGATGCACAGGAGAGCAGCAGGAGCCAAGGGAGCCCATGGCACCTGCCTGCCACTGCTCAGAGGCTCAGAGAAGGAGCTGAGCTGCCGCCACGCTGTGTGTCTCTGGTCTGGGCTCTGTCTCCCCGAGCGCTGCTCCTGCAGCCCAGCAGCAGAGGCATCGCTGCTCACCTTCTTCCCCTCCTTCCCTCTTGCCCAGTGGAGTACCTTCAGCGACAGGGGCCTGGAGAGGCTGTTGGAGGGCAAGGCAGAGGTGAGCGTGGCTGCCTTTCACCTGCCTTGGGCTGTTCTGGGTACCAGGGAGGAGCAGCGAGAGGGATCACCTTGTGCAGGAGGGAGGGAGGTTCCTGCGATGCCATTCCTGAGGCAGAGAGGGTTGGGGAGCCACCAGATATGCCAGCATATCCAGGCTGGTGGTGCTGGCAAGAAACCTGCTGCGTGGGGCAGGGAGCCTGGGAGGGCAGAGGCTCCCAGCTGTGCCACGCTCAGGCTGCTGGTGCTGGTGGCCCTTTCTGCTGCAGGGCTGCTCTGGAAGCGCAGCCTGCTTCTTGCAGGCTGATCCCAAGGAAGGGCCTGAGACATCCCCATCCAGCAGCAGAGGGGGACTTCTCCGTGTCCCAGGTGAGTTTTGGAAAGTAAGGCAACCTCCTGCAAGAGGCTGAGCTGCACTCACTTGTCTCCTAAGTGTTTCCACG